AGATCCTGAACCTGTTACAATTTATCAGCCTCACGTGTCGCAAAATACTCTTTTATCCTGCTGGGCCAGCCTTAATTTTGTTAACATCTGAGGTCAGATTCTCTCTAATGAATTCTCCAGGTACTTCTGCGTTGGAAGTTTGGTATTAACTTTCCAATGTTCTAACTTAAAAATATTTTTTGATACAGTATTGGCAAAGTATTTTAATGACATTTCCTGAGTGTTTCCAAAAGATATACAGGGGAAAAAATATTCTTGATTTCTGTGAATTAGAGATCACTCTCAGCAACGGGTCACTGTATTTTCTCATGGTACTACACTGAAATATACATGATTGGTAACTATATTGAAGCAAAACATATGCTAGAGACAAAGCAGTGTGTTAGAAAAATTTTTAAGGTTACGGATATCTGCATATAACTAAGATACCTGGATAGGTGAATGAAATATTTTTAGCAAGTTAACTGTTTGCTTAAGAATACAGATTGCTTCCCTTAAAACTATTCACACCTGTAGGTTGAATTGATCCAGTCCTTTTTTCTTTCTCCTAGGCTCATGGAACTGATAGAAAGTTGGTGTCTGTGTCCTCATCTTATCCAAGACTAAGGGTTTGGGTTGTTTAATCAGAATGCAAAGACGTCTGGGTTCATTTCTGTTCTCCGCTAACAGAGGCATGAACTCACCATTTCCATCACCATGACAGGGCTATGACCACCTTTATGATGGTTGTCAGGTGGTCCTGCCGAGTCTTATGCACTTTGCTTAATAATTAAGTTTTCCCTGGAGAAAGAACTGGAATCCACATGGTTTGCCTCCCACTCTAAGCATCAGGCTACAGAGCCAGTATCTCTCCTGCTCAGCAAATACACAAATGTTTTGCGAGTGGCACACCATCAGCAGAAGGGTTGAATAGACAGCGATGGAGTGGTTCCACATCCTAGGCTGAGCATTTTTATTTATGTTTGTTCTGAATTAAACAACAGACCTAGGGAACACATACTTAGTGTCTATGTGCGGACCAGAGCTGTAAAAGCCTATAGCTCTGCACTGAGTAATGAGGCATGGTGCTGAAATATCCAAGATAGTGCCAGCCTGACGTGATGATATCCATTCTGAACGATGCAGAGACACTTGCTTTTGGTCCCCTGGGCAAAATAAATGTTTCTGCTTCTTTGCCCAGTCTTACTATCCCAATTACTCGCTAACAGAGCGTAGGGGAGCTGAATGATGGGAGCAGCCCTACGCTGCTTCTGCAGATCTACCTGGCACACTCGTCTCCATGCTGCATCCACTCGTGCTTCTGCTGCAATCCACTGATTTCAAGCTTTTCCATTCCTAGGCTGTTAAAATTTACTTCCAGTTTAAACCTGGCATAAGAAGCATCACTCCATGAATGCTATTGTTTTGCTAGCCCAGACAAATAGAATCATAGAATGGTTTGGGTTGGAAGGGAGGAAGTAGACATTTTCATGTGCTATTTAGTATTTTTAAATGACACTATCTGGTTTATATTTTCACGTAATTACAGTATTGCATTTCAGGAGACGCCAGTCCATTATAAATAGATCTTGGTTATGTTGAGGTTTCCAAACATCCCATTGTATCTGTAAATACCACTTGGACGTGTGTGTGCATTCAAGGCCCTCTGAATTCTGTCTAAACTGAGCCTCAGCAGGCAGGAAGAGGAAACCCCTGTTTCTCTGCAGCATCTCACCCCACAGCTCCCCTTCAGTGGAGCCCAGACGGGAGCACCAGGCAGAGCAGCAGACGTGCTCCTCTCCTTTCTGCCTTACCCCTCGCAGGAGCCCCATCTGTTAGGCATGAGTAACACATGCAGCCACTTTCCCTGGAAAATATTGTCATCCTCCCACTCCCACTCTCCCCTTTTTATGTAACAAGCTAGTGGCTAAGGGATTTGGTTGAAACCAGGGAAATGTAAGTATATTTACAAAACTATATTTATGTTAGAAATTTGATTAAAACACCTGTAATTCCAGGTGTCTTCTGGCCCATTGCCTGAGGACTAAGCTAGAGCATTTATTCCCTCTTACTTGCTTATGTTCCCCTCCAAGACTTTTTCTTCTTAGCAAGTTATGCTGGAGGGGAGGCACAGAGGCTTCTGCTCTCCAGCATTGCCACGGGTGGGGTGGGACACCTAATCCTGCCCTGGCTGGGCCAGGGATGGAGCCAGCTGCCCCTGTCCAGAACGACCCCGCTGTTAGCTCTCTGTCTGCCCAGAGCGACCTTGGTGCTTCAGGGGTGGAAAGGGGAAGATGAGAAGAAAGAGGCCCAGCACTTTGGGGGTTTTTTACTGGCTTGCTCCAGACTGCTCACACACCATGTATCTTCCGGCATCACCCTTGGTAGCATCTTGGTCTCTCTACTTAGTATACAGCAAGCACAGGCATCTAATGTAGTCTGGGATAGCCTGCTGTGGCCAAGTACCTGCATTCTGGGTAATGCAATACCTAATGTAGACACTTTGCTGATTTTGCCACAATATGTATTCACAGACATGCTCACAACTTAAATTTTACAATTTTAATTCTGTCAGTTAAGCTCATGATTTACTTCTTAATCAAAAGGGGTTTGGGCATAACTCAACAGCCATCACTTCCTTTTTGCTTTTCTTTTTTCATTTTCTTGGATTTCAGATATGACCTTTATCCATTTCTCAGTAGGTTTTTTTGGTACAGTACTTCTCATTTCTTTCTTTAATTATGTTCATGGAATTTAGTGATTAATTATTTTTAAGTAAGTGTGCTTGTAGAAAAGAATTAGCATAAGAAAAATCATGGCTACTGATGTCTGTTCTCCTTAATTTATAAAATTATTTGTGCAAGATGTGGCTAATCATTTTTAGATTACATGCGTTGATATAGGTATGTTGTTTCTTACAGGCATGCTATACGTCTGTAATAGCAGCAGCTCTCTTTAGAAAAATAGAATGCTTTGTCTCCGTGGCTGTTGCAGTCCAAATAATAATTTACAAATCTGTTTCTAAGAACAAAACAACAACAAGTAGACACGGTCAAACTGAATAGGATATTAAAGTCATACTGTACTCGATTGACAGTATGTAAACTTCACTGTGCCTGCCGAAGATCAAAACCTCCTTGCTGCGTATAAGCAATATTTTGTGGTTCTAATCCAGCCTTTGCAGGCCAGAAGCACGGCCATTTTGCATCACATCCCCATCGCAAAACTGCCATCTCATCAGGGTCTTCCTAAAACATAGTGCTGATGTAGCCGCTGCTCTGTCCAGCTGGGTGTCCCGGTGACTCCTGGCTGCTGTGGATGCTTTCTGCCCAGGTTTGAAGGAGGGTTGTGTTTCTCCACTGTGTAGAGTACAGGATGGCTTTTTACCATGGCGTTGTATAAGTGACCCTAAATTCCACCACAGTTCGTCTTGTTATTAGTGAATTGATGTAGGTGCAGTGCAGTGTTGCTGTGTCTTTGCCTTTACTTTAGGTGACATTATTGTAATGAACCGTTAAAGATTTTTGCTTGAAATTCACTTGTAAGGTCCAACGGGTGTAAAGAATATTTGTCTGCCCCAATAACGGGATAAGCCATTTACTTGTGCTCTCATTGCACTGAATTTCCATTCGTTTCAGGGTACAGTAGGGATATTTGGAATTAATATATGGGGGTAAGTTTAAAGTGCAATATTGAAAGTTGGCTGGGAGATGTGTACTTCTTGTTTCTTAGAGCTGACTCCCTGTTGTATGGAATGAATAGTTGAATGCTCCTGTCATTTAAAATATGTTCCTTTTCTGATTACCAAGGAGGACATATCAAGTAGATTGTAAGGGTCACGTTAAAATTTGATAGCTTATTGCTGGGTTTGAGTGTTGCAGCTGGGCTGACAGCATTTCATGATGATTGTCACAGTAGATCTAATTATGTTTATGCCTCTCGTTATGATTGGCAAATATAATTTATTGGAGTTAACTGTTATAGCCTCACTGTTATGCCTCTCCAGTACATCAGAAGGGACCTTATGATAAATAGATGATATCCATGGAGGTGGGAAGATTGCTAAGCTGTTACTGTGCTGCTTTAAAGTTACCACACTGTCATTGTTCTCAGCTCCCTATTTTAACTACCAGTTGTGTTACTAGCCCCACATGGTATTTAGGGTTTTTTGTTTTCTTTGGTCAAAAGTCTGAGAAAATTTGTGTTGAGTGTTTTGTTGGGAAAGAATCTTTACAGGTATAAAATTTGGGGTTTTTTGAGAGATGTTGCTAAATAAAAATGAAAACCAAAGCTGCAGCAGTAGATAAAGCCTTTGTCATCTAAAAAGAGAAGCTACTATTATTTAAGTAATTGCAACAATCTTACGTGTTGTAAAAAGTTAGAATACAAGTAAGATTTCAAGCAAAATGCAGGATTTTCCAGAAGCTGAATTAGTACTCTAAGGAACAGGAGGTCAGGACCTTTTTGGCAATCTCTGTGGCATTTTTTCCATCCATTCTTGACTGGAGAAGTAGAGGCATAACATATTAGTTCATCAACCATGCAGTGTAGTTCCTTGAACTGTTCTACTATACCAAAGTTAAGAAAAATAAATACTGAAATACTTTTTAATTGATAAAAAAGATATCTCTCCATCTTCAGACTCAGGTGGAAACTATTGGTTCATAGAACCGTAGTTACCTGCAATTATTGCCCTGGGTATGTTTCACAATAGAAGATACCCTGAGGCACACTCTGCCCTGGCAAAGGGTTGTTTCAAAAAGTATAGCAGGAAATCCAGTTCACAGAGGTCTATTCTATACTGGCAGAAAAGTGCTTCCAGCAGTGTAGCAAATACTGCTTCCCCAGACAAAATTATGACACGCTGACAAAAAGACAGATTTTGCTGGTTATAAATTGTCTTTAACAAGGGTTTTTAGCAGTCTGGAATGGTCTTAAAATGTTACATTAACTGATATTGTTATACTGACTGAAGTGTTGAGCCTGGTTTGAAATTGGAGGAAAGCAATCCAAGCTCATCATCAGAACAGTATGACAAATTATCTCTGATGTGTTTATTCTAGTTGTTATTTGGACTGAAATTAGGGATAGACTATTGACTATCTTCTACTCAATCACTGAGACAATGGTATTCAGTCATTCCAACAATATCTCTATGCAACAAAGTTGCAGAATATGTTATCTTGAATGTGCCAAGAACCATCACAAGTTCTGTTTTCAAAAACGTGGTCCTAACTCAGACAGCAGCTGGGCCACAGTGCTTTTATCAACAAGTAGGCAAGCACGCACCGATGCTTTCTATACCAGCACGCCGTGCTCATCTCACAGTGTTCTCTGCTGTAAAAGGCTGATGGGCATGTACTCAGTCAGAATTGGAGATAACTACAAACAGATGGAGGTGATCTCTAATAGATCAAGTACAATGTCAACCTCTTCCAATAGAGAGCATCAGATAGAGATTTTCTGATGGCCATTTAAGATGTTACTTCATTTATAAAATGATCGTAGTAGTCACCTTTTGATTTGGAACTGAAAGACTTTGAGCTCAGTGGAGACTAGCTGGGATGCTTTGCTCTCTCTTGGAAATTTTGTAACCTTATCATGGTACTTGATTTATTCAGTTGCTATTCTAAGACAACAAAAGTCAATCTCTTCACACCTCTTGAATGAGACCATTTGCTATAGAAAGCTCTCTCTAGCCAGATCAGATAGGTTGTGTTTTCAAGCAAACATAATGCTTGTGCCACCATAATAGATGAAATGCTAATAGTGTAATTTTAAGAAACTGTCTAATAAATACATTTTTGATACCTCTTGTTGGCATTTAAGTTTCTGTTGGTTATCTTCTAATATGTACTTTGAATGAGCTAGATAGCTGATCTGGTTTTTGTTCATGGAGTGTGCACAATCTTTAAAGGGAAACTTATATGAACTACAGTCTTGTCTGTCTATAATACAGACTTGCACAAATCATGCCACTTCTCTAATTGCTCTGTGAAGTCAGCCTATAGCAAGATTTGAGCAGGAAAATGTGATTCCATTTCAAGGATGGTTTTGTTATTGTAAGTTTTAGTTTTGTTTCACTTGGGAATGAAGACAGTTTCTTCATCACCTGTGAAAGCGGACACAGTCCATCTGTCTTGGAGAGGTTTGCCCTGCAAGCTGCTGCCAATCAGACAGGGTGCTGAGGAGCTGGGAGCGTGAAGACAAGATTTTTTTTTTTTCTGGGAAAATCACCTTTCCAGAACTCCTGGGGTTGTGAGGAGGATACCATAGCGTTATTTGGATTACTGAATATTATTTTTTAAAGTGTTTTACATATAGTAAGCAAATTTTTAATATGGGACCATACAGAGGCCAGTATATGAAGGCAACTTTGTTTTCCAGAGCTTTGATAAGTTGAAGTAAATGGAAAATCAGGAGCTACTTCTAATGCAGACACCTCAGTGCGTCTTAATGCCTATCCCAGGCACTCCAGTTTGATCAGATTGATTACTATGTAAGATTAAAGTCTGAGCTGAAATGATTTACATGTAGGGAGTTAATGGCATAGTAAGATTACCATGTGATGCAACAAGCATTCTTACCTCTTTTTTTCTTACATACGTGGACTGAGGTCTTGTTAGAAAGTCTCTCTCTGGGCTGGGGTTGCAGGAAGCGGTGGAGGTGAGAGAAGCAGGCAGTGCTGCCTGTAAGGGCAACAAACCGGGGGCAAAATGCTCTCGTTAACGTTGCATTCGTTTCCCTAGCCTGCCAGGGATGTGCACAGCTAACAACTCCTGCCAACCTGAAGAGGAGCAACACACCAGTCTACCATATTTTTACATTTCTTAAAACTAAGTGCCTTTTAATGTTTTCATAACTCTAATTTTCTACTTATCTGCAGCTGAAGTTCAGAGTGAAATCGAACGGATTTTTGAATTAGCAAGGACGCTGCAGTTGGTAGTGCTTGATGCTGATACCATTAACCACCCAGCTCAACTAAGCAAAACCTCTCTGGCTCCAATTATAGTATACGTAAAGATTTCTTCTCCTAAGGTAAATATTTTACTGATATTTGTGCTTGTTCAGTCTTGTCTTTTCCTTTTCTTTCCTTTTCTTTTCTTTTCTTTTCTTTTCTTTTCTTTTCTTTTCTTTTCTTTTCTTTTCTTTTCTTTTCTTTTCTTTTCTTTTCTTTTCTTTTCTTTTCTTTTCTTTTCTTTGGTCTTAAATGCAGATAATCACATGTCCTCATTTAAGCTCAGAGCTATATATTGTTATTCCTTCCATCTGGAAATATTATTAAACAAAAAACTATCTTAATTCTGGTGTTACCAAAACCCATTTTGGAAAAGATGCTGTAGCTCTACTGTTTGGTTTTTTTCTTTAAAAATAAAAAAAAAAAAAAAAAAAAAA